TGCTTCCAGTTTTGGGCTCCACAATTCAAAAAGGATGTGGAGAAGCTTGAGAGAGTCCAGAGAAGAGCCACGCGCATGATCAGAGGTCAGGGAAGCAGACCCTACGATGACAGGCTGAGAGCCCTGGGGCTCTTTAGCCTGAAAAAGCGCAGGCTCAGGGGTGATCTGATGGCCACCTACAAGTTTATCAGGGGTGACCACCAGCATCTGGGGGAACGTTTGTTCACCAGAGCGCCCCAAGGGATGATGAGGTCTAATGGTCACAAACTACTTCAAGATTGTTTCAGGCTGGACATAAGGAAGAATTTCTTTACTGTCTGAGCCCCCAAGGTCTGGAACAGCCTGCCACCGGAGGTGGTTCAAGTGCCTTCATTGAACACCTTCAAGATGAAACTGGATGCTTACCTTGCTGGGATCCTATGACCCCAGCTGACTTCCTGCCCTTTGGGCGGGGGGCTGGACTCGATGATCTTCCGAGGTCCCTTCCAGCCCTGATGTCTATGAAATCTATGAAAGTCAAGGACTTCTGTATTACTGACTGACTTGGCAGCTTTATGTTGGATAATGAAAGTGATCAGCTCGTCACCCACCTTCCCTTCGATCATTAGGTCACTGATTAGGTTGTCCCCAGTTGCCAGTACCAGGTTGAGCAGCACTTTACCTCTCGTCGGCTCATAGACTTCCTGCGTCAGATAGAGCTCTACCACGCATGAGAGAAAGCTTTGTGACCGCTTGGATTTGGCCAAGCACTCTTCCCACGCTATGTCTGGGTAGTTGAAGTCTCCCATGACAACCATGCACTGGGAGCATGCGGCCTCAGCCAATTCCCTGGCAAACTACTGGTCAAGGTCTTGATCCTGGGTAGAGGGTCTATAATAGACTCCCACCATTGTGTCCCCAGTGCCGTGTTCCCCTTGGATTTTAACCCAGAGGGTTTCAAGTCATCTGCCCTGGGTGCCAATGTCAGCTTGCAGGGATGCGTAGCTTTCCTTGACATAGAGTGGACAAAAGGGGCGGGGGTATAGCTCTCTATCTCTCCTATACAGGGTATAGCCATCTATACCTGTGGCCCAGTCATGGGTGGAGTCCCACCAGGTCTCCGTTATCCCTGTGACATTGTAATTATTTGTGTTTAGCAAGAGGACAAGTTCTGTAATTATTTGTGTTTAGCAAAAGGACAAGTTCCTCCTGTTTATTCCCCAAGCTCCTGGCATTTGTGTATAGGCATGCAAGTGTCCCCTTAGGGGCCCTTACCCTGCCTATAGTTCGTATATAGGTATATGCATATGTATATGTTAAGGATGTGTGTGTATGTATGTGTATGTGCATATGTATATGCATATACATATATACATGCACATACATACACACACACACACCCCCGTGTATTCATGCTAACTGAAATAAGATTGAATGAAGGGCAAATCACAGCAAAATTTGAGTATTTTTAAAGAAAATATAAAAGCTTTACCTTTCAAAAAATTAGTAACACTCACGCAATATGAATGAGGAAAGACTTGAATGTATTTATCACGCTGATAAAATAGAGAGAGGGAATAAAAGAAATGGTGCATAAAGAGAAATATGATTTTATGTTATATTGTGCTTAATGTCTTGGCCTGAATGTTTATTTCCTGTTAAAGTATCATTACTACATATCCTCTGCTGAGTGTCTGTGTGCATTTTATGACAACTGGAAGCTTCCTCTACATACTTTTTAGTGAAGTTTTCTTTTAATCGTGCTGATCTCCTTAATGGATATGGAGTTGTTTTGGTAGTTTCTACACCTAGAATAGTCTTATTTGAACTTGAATTCCCTTCATTAGCTTCCCTGTCAGAGGAGGTGACATTCCAATAATCAGCAATCACTATGTCATTTTTCTTCTGGTCACCTGCAAGCTGTGGCAAAAAGAAGAATAATTACAAAGTGCTGTGCCTCAGATTAGTGCATGCAAATATGGAAGCAAAATGTCTTATAGATGATATGTGCGCATTGAGAGAGAAAGCGCCCTGGGGGAAAAAAAAAGGTTGATTAATCAATAAGTTAGAATTCGACAAATATATGGCCTCTATAGAAGGAGGCTGTCAAGCTGATAAGCCATGCTGTTCAGGCATAGGAATCAGGCCCCCTCTACACATATAGGTAAAGGTATTTGATTGGATTCAATGCATGAGACACACATGCATGGCAGGAGGTGCAACTACAGAATTACAAATTAGATCCAATCGCGCATTATTGCCAGTGTAGGGTGGGCCTGATTCTGGGCTCTTCCTGCATTTGGAAAAAAGCAGGCTCCCAGAGCTGGGAACCACCTTTGCTGAGGGGTCTCCCAGCTGCAGAGGCCACATGCAGCCAGGACCAAGAGTCCTGCACCTGATTGGGCTCTCAGTCCTGGCTGTGCCTCACACTCTTGGCCCTTGTGAGACTCTTGGTCCTGGCTGCGTGTGTGGGCTAAGGGATGTTAGCAGGGTGTGAGTGTGACCACCTAGTTTTAGAACAGCTCACCTCCCTCCCCTACAGAGCAAAGCAGGGCCCAGGTTCACCCCAGGTTATTTAACTATTTACAGGTTTGATTGTACAGTACAATGTCCATAAACATATAGAAACATGTGTAGAAACATACACACACACATATATACTATATATACTATTTACAAATATTAGTAATACACACTACATATATACTATTTACAAATATTAGTTCACAAAACAATGACTCTTGTTGAACGTAAACCCAGGCAATCTCAGCTGGGTATGGAAGGCACTATATCTGCATAGGCTTTGACCCTCTTTGGCCTTCCCGCTGGTGTACAGCCCCTGCCTTCAGCAGACTCTCCAGGCAGCTGGCAAGGGAACAGTTGACAGTAACAACACAGATTAAACAATAGGTCAGTAGACAAAACCAGCAGGGATAAATCACTACTCTAAACGTACATAAGTGAAATTACATTATTAGGATTCAATACATAAAGATAATGAATACCATAAAAGCAAATATTGAATAAGGGGGTGCCCTCGCAGTGGCCCTCAAGCAACTAAACCCTTAGCAGGCTAAATGAGACAGCTCATAATTATTTCACAATACAACAGTAGGTACACAAGTTTACAGCAAAGGCCCCAACAATATAAAGAACAAAGACACAACAATGGTATGCTCAACAGAAGGAGTGATACCAGGGGAAAAGAGCAGGTTACCATATCAACACTATCTCCCTCATCTAGGCCACATGCCTAGCCTGGCCCAGTGACAGCAAAACTGGGGTGGCCCTCCTCCCCTGTGGAAATCCTCATCTCCTCCTTGGGACTGCAAGCCCCTTTTTAGATCACTCATGGCTCCCAGCAGTCGGGAAGGCTTGGCTCATCTCTCTCTCTCTAGGGGTAGCTGTGAAGGCTCCCCCCTCTCGCTGGGGTGGTCATTCTGTCCTGCAGCCACTTGCAACAAGAAGGCCTGAGCTGCTGCGTGCAGCTACCTGGCCTATCAGCCCTCTCTCCTGGCCCCATGCACCACCCTGTGCACCAAGGGGTTCCTGCCATTTGTAGGGATGGATCTCATCAGCTCTCCAAGTCCCAAGCACCTCCCTACGCACTGAGGGGAGTGCCTGCCTTGTGCAGGGTTGGAGACCTGTGCTGCCTCATGCAGCCGCAGGGGTCCCTCCAGCTCTACCAGCCCTGTGCACCGAGGGCTCCTGCCTCATGCAGGGATAGGGACCCACACTTCCTCCTACAGCCATGGCATCCCTTCAGCTCTGCCAGCCCTGTGCACCTCCCTGTGTACCGAGGGTTCCTGCCTTTTGCAGAGATGGGGACCCTTGTGGAAGCAAAGGATGGCTGAGGCCTCAGGGGGGGAGAGAGAAATTCCTTAGATAAGAGGAAGATGACCATTAAACTGTCTTGAAGGACACAAGACAGATAGCCCCAAGGTGGGAAAAGCTAGTTTAGGCAACCCTTTGTCTTGAATCTATAAAAGGTTAATTGCCCTGGATGTAAAGTAGGGAGGCCACAGCAGAAATCTTCCTGTAAGGGTCTATCTCCAATAGCTATCGAAATAAAGTTTCTACCTAACCTGATTCCAAATTCTACAGCGTGTTTTTTTTCCATGACAATTAAATGGTGCCGTGACTCGGATCCACAGCCAACGACATGTTTGGAGGACCGTGAGCCGTTCCCTGCCGAACCCCGGCGCCACCAGTAAAGGTAAGAGGCCTTTTAAATCTCTGTTGGGGTGTCGGAGGAGGACTGCTCATAGGCTCCCTGCTCGCGTTGGGTAGCTGGATTCGAACCTTTGTTACAGGTCAGTGTAGAACCAAGACCGGTCATACTAATCTGGTAAATTCTGTCTGTCTCTGGAAAGCGCACATAACTGGTAGGGAGAATCTGTCTGTTGCACAAGCACTTGCATCCAGCACAACACTGGGCTTTAGGAAGTCTGAGTGGGTAATGGAAATAAGATTGTGACCCTGACTGAATGGTGATTTGGAATTGGTCCAGGGCAAATTCTGAAACCACGTGCAGCCACCCCGAGACGTACGCGAGCTCGGTTTGGGCGATGACCGGTGCAACTCGAATGCAAGGGTGC